GAACTTTTAAAACAATAAGGGGGCCGAAGTGGAAAGCAGAGGAGGGGAAGGATAACCTAGGACAGGAGGTGAAACAAAAGACAGGACTATGTAGCACTTTAAAGACTAACAAGATGGTTTATTAGATGATGAGCTTTCGTGGGCCAGACCCACTTCCTCAGATCAAATAGTGGAAGAAGAAAATAATAATAAACCATCTTGTTAGTCTTTAAAGTGCTACATAGTCCCGTATTTTGTTTCAGCTGCACCAGACTAACATGGCTACATTTCTATCACTATTCTGGGACAGGAGGGAGACCAGAAACCAAGAGATATTGATTAACTCTGTGAGGTCATTTTAAAGTACAGACAGCAGCAGCAAGCTTAGCGAACAAAGAGGATATAAAGGAAAAACTTAACTGGTATGTACAAATATTTGAGAGAGGGAGATTATATTACTAAAAAAAAGTGTTGGGGGGGGGGGGGTCAAAGTATTTGGGGGACCCTTACCCCCAATGTTTATCTTGACTCTGAAAGGAGAATGAGGGTTTTTGCCCACACTTACAAAACCTAAATTTCATAGAATCCTAGGGCTGGAAGAGACCTCAGGAGGTCATGCAGTCCAGCCCCCCGCCCAAAGCAGGACCAACCCCAACTCAATCCACCCAGCCAGGGCTTTATCAAGCTGGGACCAGCCCTAAAACCGATCCTTGGGGCACCCGACCGCCAGCCAGACACTGAGCCATTGATCACTACCTGTCGGGCCCGACAATCTAGCCAGCTTTCCACCCACGTTACAGTCCATTTATCCAATCCATACTTCCTTAACTTGCTGGCAAGAATACTGTGGGAGCCCATATCAAAAGCTTTGCTGAAGTCAAAGTATATCACATCCACCAACTTCAGCAGAGTCCACAGAGCCAATTACCTCATCATAGAAGGTAATCATGTTGGTTCCCCCCACCCCCGGCCGTTGCTTCGGTCTGCTTGCCATATGGAATACAGGATTGTCTTTCTCGGCTTCAGTTAACCATATCCGGGCAGTCCCCCATGCATTTGTGTCTCGATTCCCTCTCCACTTTTCACTCTGAAATTCTCCTCTGGCCATGGCGCTCAGCCAACGTGCACCAAGCTCCACGTGGGCAGGCGCAGAGCGGATCAAGGCCCCAGCCAGCTGGCCAGGCAGCTTCTCTGCACCAGCCCACGTGGAGCGTGGTGCACCCTGGCTGAGCACTACTTCCAAATGTTGAAAAACCTCTTCCAAATGTTGGAAAAACCTTTTTAAAAAAAGCAGCAGTATAAGGATTGGGGATAGCAAGTGATGGGAGAGGAGGAGAATAGAGAGGGCGGGGCTTCAAGGAAGGGGCGGGGCAGTAGATCTTGGCTTGGTCTGTCATTTAAAAAGTGATCTTGGGTGTAAAAAGGTTGGAGACCACTGTCTTAAAGTGTTCTCTCTGCCCTACTGTTTTCTCCTTCACCTAGTTTACCAATGCAGTGACAGATCGTTTGCTACTTTTTCCTCCTGTGCCTTTACCTTGTCATTCCCAAAGTTTTCATTGCCTGTCTTTTCCTTTCACTTGGGCCACCTTGTTCCCTCTCTGCCCCAATTCTTCAAACACCAGGTAAGCACCTGAAATCTCTCGTTGCTCAGCCCGACTTGTGGACTGTTTCTACAGCTGTTTCCAGTGTTCTGTTGATCCCCAATGCTTTCCCACGCTCTGTTGCTTTTGTAGTGTCTCTGACCTTTGTTTGTGTGTTTGTTTCTGGTTCTTGCCCCGCCAATTCCAGGGCCGTGTTGTCTTAACTCTTTAACAACTGTGTCCGGAGCTGTAATATTTTATATTTCTTACTCTCACCATGATTTTTTTAAAGCTTTGGTTTCTGCCACCATTGTACATGTTCCGGTCCATGCGTCTCCACTATCTTTTTTTTTTTTTAAGCCTTGTGGCTCTCTTTTGCTGGCTACCAGCAGGTTCATCTCTCATCAGACTCTGTGGGGACTGGAAGGGAGGATAAGGGAGATTCTCTAGCTCTAAGCTTTTTGCCATGTTAGATCACAATTGGAAAAAAATGTGGTTTGTTTCATTTGGAAAAGAGAAGTCTGAGAAGAGGGCAGGAAAGCAATTTTCAAGAGTGTTACCTAAAAGGCTGTTATGAGGAAGAGGGAGATATATTGTTCTCCTTGGCCTCTGAGGATAGGACAAGAAGTAATGGGCTTCAGTTGCAGCAAGGGAGGCTCAGATTGGACAGTAGGAAAAACTTCCTGTCAGGATGGTTAAGCACTGGAATAAATTGCCTAGGGGGGTTGTGGAATCTCTACCGTTGTCTAATCTGCTCTTAAAAATCTCCAAGTGCCTGTCAGGGATGGTTTAGATCAGTGTTTCTCAACCAGTGGTACGAGTATCCTTAGGGGTACTTGAGAGAAGTCCGGGGGATACGTCATCACAATTGAAATTTGGCTTTATTATTTTTGTACTTTTTACACTCAAAAATTTCCTCTCCCACCCAGCTACGATTAAGTTGTTTAAACAAATGTGTTGCAGTGGTCGAAAAAAAATTTGTGTGTCTGAAAACTGGAGGTACTTGGGGTACTTATAATTTTTTTAAAGGGGTACCTTATAAAAAAAAAAAAGGTTGAGAAACACTGGTTTAGATCAGCGACAGGCAACCAAGACAAGAGAGTGGGCCACGTGAGCAGCCTTCTTCCGCTCCATGGACCGCATGACCAGTGGTGGGCAACCCGTGGCCTGTTGGGGTGAGGTTGATTTGTGGCGCTCAGGCTGTTGGAGGGAGGAGAAGAGCAGGGGCAGAGCACAAATCAGTGGATTCATGGCACTCCGAAAGGGCTGGGAGAGCGGGGGAGAGCAGGACGTGCGGGCCTCCAGAGCAAGAGAGGCGCATGGGAGAGTGGGACAGAGGGGATGCACGGGCCACAGGTGGAACCCCGATGGCCTGCATGTGGCCCGCAGGTTGTCCACTAGTGGTCCAGATGGTGCTTGGTCCTGTCATGAGTGTAGGGGACTAGAGAGATGTGAGAGAGAACCTCCGGTTCTGTGATTCTGTTGAGTCAGCTGTCCGGATCCATAAAAGGGCCTCATTGTTTCTTACGTTTATCCAGAATGGAAGGAGACTGGTTCGTCCGTTAGCTTCAGTGAGGTTTAACCCAACCCACAATTCTGATGCTGCGTGCGCACATACGCATGGGCTTATTTCTTTTAAACTTGTTTTGACTGTGCTAGTCCTCATCTATACTTACCGGATGATCGACTCTCCGGAGTTTGATTTAGCGGGTCTAGGAAAGACCCGCTAAATCAAACATTGAGGGTTCCTACATTGACCCTAGTAACTCCTTGGAGTCACAAGGAATAAGGCAAGTCGACAGGAGAGTTTCTCATGTCAACCTCCCGCTGCAGGTCCGCCCCAGAAAATCAGTTTAAGGTACGTGGACTCCAGCTGTGTAAGTCTCATAGCTGGAGTTGTGTATCGTAAGTCGATTTTCTGCCCCAGTGTGGACCTGGTCCTAGAAATCCTCCTGGGGCATAAACCAACTTTTGACCCCTGGGAGCCGAAGCAGATTTTCTAGGAGCATGTTATCTGATCATGGGTGGTACCTCTTGCATCTTCCTCCGCAGCATCTCCCACTCGGGCTGGAGAGGGGCTATTGAGGTAAATGGCCCCTTGAGCTTCATTTTTATGACCATAGGCAGGTGTCAACAAAACCCCCAAGATGTTTCTAAAGCAGTTTGGGTATAAACTAGGAGTGGGAAAGGTTAATCCGTGAGGGCTTAAGCAGCTCCCCACCCGCCACGGGTAGGGGGCTGTTCCAACCCCACGAGGCCCACCGCAGACAGGGGTGCTCCACCTGGCTATTCCCCGTCCTGCCGGTTAACCAGTTCAACATTACATTAACCCAGTTAACCAATTAACAGGATTTTACACCCCTAGTATAAATCTCTTCTTAGTGGCTCAGGTTTGACTTGCTTAGGATCTGTCATAAAATCTTACCGGTTCTCCAGTCTTCCAGGCTAGACAGGACTTGAATTTCTAATTACGGGAGGTGGGGGGAGCCTTGCTCAAACTGTGGGTCGGGACCCCAGAGTGGGTCGCAAAGCCTTCTGAATGGGGTCTCCGGGGCTGGCTTGCGACTTGCTGGAGCCTAGGGCTAAAGACCGAGCCCCTCTGTCCAGGGGCAGCTTCAGCTCTGGGTGGCAGGGTGCAGGCGACACACCCCACTGCCCCCTGCCTGGGGCTGACACCCTTGAGCCTCAGTCCCTCCCCTCCCAGTGGTGGGGTTCAGGGTTTGGCCTCCTCGCCTCAGGCTCTCTCCTCCTGGGGTCATAAAGTAACTTTTGTTGTCCGAAGGGGGTTGCGGTGCAAAGAAGTTTGGGAACCCCTGGTTTAACCCCTTCAGCCCTCAGCTGCTATTCAGGGAGGAGTGGGGACAACTGCAGCCGCTTCTGGGGAGGGGCCTCAGAGCCGCCCACGTGTATAACGCAGGCGAGCTCTGTCCCCCTTGACCACCATGGGACTTTGGGCTCTGTGCCGCAGAGTTGCTTCCCATAGGTCACTGTTGAGGGGCGGACCCCCAAAATACAGTTGTTGGGGTACAGCCCCCCCTAAAATCCAGTCTACGACGGCAAAGATTCACCCCCATGTCAGGGTCCTAGATGGCGGATAACACCGCTTGGAAGCGTAGCGCGCTCGCTTTTGCAGCGGCCACGCCCTCGGGGAGGGAGTAGGGGGGCCCCAGCCCCGGGCCCTAAGAGCAGGTCCTACCAGACCTACTCAGCCGGCGGGGGAATCTAACCCCGAAACCCTCCAGCTCGCCGGGCCAGCTCCAGCCCCTGCCCTGAGCTGCTTCCTACTCCCAACCCACTGCCTCTATCTCTCTCTTTCCTTCACCCCCTCTCCTGGGCTTTCCTTCCCCCTTTTAAACTCCCCGCCTCCCCCACGTCATCGTCCGGTGCCCTTCTCCTCTTTAGCCCGCCCCTGACGTCTCCGTTCCGACGTCACTGCGCCGGATGCCGGGGCTGCCCCTGCCCTCGGCGGAGCGCTGCCCGGTGGCGGCCGTGCAGACCGGCTGCGTAAGTAGCACAAGCGCCACAGCCGGCTCAGTGCGGGGCGGGTTCGCCTCGGCAGGGCAGAGGCGTCCCGCCCAGTCACACTAAGCTTATGAACTCTCTCTTTCCTATTAGCAGTACATTTTCTTCAGCCACAAACCTGCAGTAAATATATTTTGGCTCCGTGCCCCCAGCGCCCCGCTGCCCGGGCCGGGGAAGAGGGTCAAGGCCTCAGAGCGGGTGGGGGAGCGGGGGCTGGGGGTGATTACGGCGTGAGAGCAAAAGGTGAGTGGGCTCCACTCAGGGCTGTTGTCCCATGTCCCGCCACCCCCGTGGGCCAGTCAGTCCCTCCTCACGTGAGCCACATCACAGCAGGCTTCTCCTAGGGGTAGTGGAGCCCGAGACCTTTCCCCTCGAATTGCCAGTCAGTTCCTCCTTGTGTGGGCCGGATCACAGCTGGCTTTTCCTAGAGGGAAAGGCCCCGCACCCCGCCACCCCTCAGAGCCAGTCCCTCCTCCTAGGGGTGGTGGGGCCCGGGACCTTTCCCCTCTACGTGCCAGTCAGTCCCTCCTCGCATGGGCTGGCTCAGAGCTGGCTGCCCCTGGAGGGGAAAGGTCTCTCCCGTCCCAAGCAACCCTCCCTTTCCTCGCAGATATCATGGCTACCACCAACCCCCTGGAGAACCTGCAGGGAGAGGGCAG